TGGCCCAGTTTCAGCAATATCAGACAGAGCTACGGTTTTCCTCAGCCCACTCATTTAACTTTCCCATTACGTACTCGGCCTTGAAATCATTCGTGTTGATTACCACCGTTCTTTTTTATTTTGACCTCACTTCCGTTGTACACCTCTATAGCCCGGTCATGGTAGCCTGGCTTCACAATGAGGAAGGGATTGCTGACATTTGTTTGGTACCCTATTTGTGGACCACATGATGTTACCAGGTCCACCACTTTTTGATGTCCTCTACTATTCCTGCAAGTGATATATGTCACTTGTTTGACCTTGGTTGTTTCATAGTATATTGTATGTTGGAGCACAGATAGGCCTAGTGCCTACATTGCCATGGCGACAGAGTCCCTCTGCGTTTTTCCCTCAGTTGACTGTATGGACTGAAAGATTGTTATATTGATGTGTGTTGGGTTCCTGTAGGTTTTTTCATCATACATTGCTCAACATCACGCTGCTCAAATAATCTTTCTCGTGGCGTGAATGGCAGCTTCACCCTAGCATGGTGGCCAGCACATACTTGTAGATTCCATACAGCTGCTATGACAACATCATTGACCACCACCATTATGCATTTTCAAATGATCCGTCTCAGCACTTCCCCCACCCCTATCGGCCTACATCCTGGATTTTTGTCCAGGGGATGATGCGGCTGGCCATTTGAGCTTGTAGGTGGTTACAGCAAGAGGTTGCCAGCATTCTTGAAGGGCGGCGTTGGCTTGCAGAGATCAGTTGCTGCGTCGCCAAACTTGTTAGTCCTGAGGATGACTCTCACCCATCTGCCCCTCCCTGTGTCTTCAGTGTTTTTTTACACACCATCCGTTCTGTTATTTTCTCGAACATGACAGCATTTGGAGGTACATAACACCCTAGAACCTAATACCGTCCTCAGCATTTGCAGGGGGATGTTTTTCCTTTGTTGCCGTAATGTCTCTCTGTTTATTGGCAGCACACCTCCGGAAGATTCCTCTGTGAGAGATCTTACCGCTGAAGACACTTTTCCCACATGCATCTTGTTACCAAACTTTCTCGCAGTGTTCTTGATGACTTGTTTTCCGTTTCCTGTAAATTTTAGTCTCTCCTGCAGTGTTCTTGCCTCTCTTAGGAGATCATTAAGAGTCCCGTTCTGCCACAGTGTCAGTCTTCTCTTCATTGCTGCCACTTTTTCCTTACACTTACTCCTTGTGTGTGTTCTCTGTCAGAATAGATGTGGTATTATTGTCAGTATATGGAAAGCTATTGGGACCAAGAAGCTGTAAGGAGTGTAATTTTGTATGAGGCGACACATCTACCTGATCATTTCTTTGGTGGCTCCACATTTAAATGGTCCAAAAAGACTACTTGAGGACCACCAGACAGTTTCTGAGTAGGCTCCATTGACATACGTCTCTGCCTCTTCCCCGACATGCTTTTCCAAAGTGTTGACTGCGTGTGTCATTCACCTCCAGTCCAATATTTTCCGACTGAATGGGTTCATTGCGATCCTCCAGGATGTCGTCCTCGCGTGACGGATCCCTGCCCAAGGGATTCTGGCATCTGGTCCCTTTCCTACAACCCACACAGCATCACTTACTTCTCACACTTCTCACACATATATAGTTGGTATATTTCTGGTACAAGCCAGAACATGCATTAACAGTTATTTGGCATGGTGTTAAGCGAGAGGGGTGAGTGGCCGACGGATGAGACGGGACGGGGCGGGGCGGGGCGGGGAGGGATGGGGTTGGGTGGGGTGGGGTAGGGTCGGGTGGGGTGAGCTGGGATGAGGCTTTTAACACACTTAACCGGCTCGAATTACAAGACACGGCCCTGTATGGTATTTGGCGACACCAGCGCCACCTGCCTAACAACAGACAGCTATCAAACAGGGAGGTACTACTGCCTGGGAAGATATTGGAAGCATATTGTGTTGTCTAATGGAAAACCCTGCTGCCATATGGCACCACAAAAATTGCGACCAAGTCTCAGGTTGCTGATCTGACTTTCTGCCTTATTTACACACAATTGCAGGGTCTCAATTGTTTCTCTTACTTTGACAACACAACATATGTATATATATATATATATATATATATATATATATATATATATATATATATATATATATATATATATATATATATATATATATATATATATATATAAATATCGTTTCTCACTATTGATTTTTTGTTTACCTTTTTATTTCTTTATGGTTCTCTGTTATTATTATTATTATTATTATTATTATTATTATTATTTAATTTTTAATTTTGTATTAAAAAAATTATTTTCTATCAGCAAATTTTTAGTATTATTGTTATTATTATTACATTTTCGCCTCCCAGGCCCCGATGTGGGTCAGTGACTAGTGCCCTAGTGGGCAAATCCAGTAAAAAAAAATCACATGTTCTCCAATGATAAAATTATCACCGCTGTCCACCCAGAAGGTTTACAAGTGAATGATAAAGTGATCACTTAACGCACTACACACTCAGACTGGTTGTCCCAATTAAGACCTCGAATTTTTTGTAAGCCAGGAGCCTCCCTCATGCACACCCGCCATGGCCACAGCTATTAATATAATGATAATAATAGTAATGATAATAATAATAATAATAAAAAACATAATAACATACTACTACTACTACTAATAATAATAATTATATACTACTCCTACTACTACTACAAATAATAATAATAATAATATACTACAACTACTACTACTAATAATAATAATAATTATATACTACTACTACGTGGCCTCCAGCCTCCCCCAATAGCCACACCTTCGCCACCATTTTATTACCTTAATATTAAGTCTCCTAATACATAAGTAGCTACCCTAGCTGTGTTGAATTAGTTGAGCCGCAGATTTATGCGGCATTCAGTGCTTGTAGCCTCATAGTCAATATCTGCAGCTGTTGTCGGCTTTGGGGCAGAAGCTCTCGTTCCCCTGAGGCAAAGCAAAGCCGACCAAAGGAGAGAGAAAGAGAGTCGACATCTCATCCAGGCTGTAACGTAGATTCTGGGCTGCTGCTTCTGTTCGGAGATAGTCTGAGATAGTCTGGCGTAGAAACATCTTGCACTTGGTCCCATCCCACCAGAAGTTGTGAACACTAGAGGAGTGAAGCTGCCTTGATCAACGTTCTGAATTCTCTCCCCGTATGCCCTTGTCTTGTCGTTCTCGTTCCTCCTGTGTGCAGCATCTGGTGCTAAGTTACTGTGCCATACGGTCATGGGATAAGAAATCCTGATGTCGAAGAAGGCTCGCTGTCCCCGCGTCCAGAATCCTCGAGCACTGACGTCAACACAGGCTTCGTTGGATGTGTTTGAAGTCCTATGTTGGAAGATTTCACTGTCCAATGGAAGGAGGATCGGTTTTACCATGACATCACGGCAGATTTCCTTCAACATATTTGCTGTGAGATCCCTTATTTCGTCATGCCTCATGTATATGAAGCCCCCTTTCTTGCACACCAAGGCGTGATCGACGTCATAGGAAGAGCCACACACGCATTGGGAGGGCAAACCTTCTACTCGCCTACCGTACCTTAAAGCGTTGGCAACTGTAAATTCTTGTTTATTGAGATTGAAACCATTTGCCCTTATCGGTAACGTAGTTAACCAGTTCGAGGCGCCCACCTCCTGCGCTATAGCTACTTTTTTTCTTCAAATTCTCTGGTACTTGCAGCAACAGTTGCTGCAACTTATCACTTTGGCCGTGCTGTCGTTATGTCGTAATGGACCTTCTAATCTTGTTTACTTCACAGGTATCCACCACCCCTTATGCATTTTCCGATGATCCGCTTCAGCACTTCCCCTACCCCTATAAGCCTACATCCTGGATTCTTATCCAGTGGAATGAGGCGGCAGGCCGTCAGAGCATGGAGGTGATGGCAGCACGAGGATGCCAGCTTTCTTGCAAGGACGGCAATGGCAGTGCAGAGATCACTTGCTACGGGGCCAAACTTGTTAGTGCTGAGGATGACTCTCCAACCGCTTGCATCCAGACCTGAAGGGCCGGCTCCTCCTCGAGTCTTCAGTGCCTTTTTCCACAGCATCCCTCTTGTTATTTTCTCGAACAGGACAGCATTTGGTGGGATATAGTCACCCTGGAACCCGATGCCTTCGTCTTCACTTGCAGGGGGATGTTTTTCTTTCAGTTGTTTTAATGTCTCTCTGTTTATTGGCAGAACCCCACCGGAGGATTTCTCTGTGAGAGATCTTACCGCCGATTTCACTTTTCCCACACACATTTTGTTTCCAAGCTTTCTTGCAAGGTCTTCGGTGTTTTGCTCTCCGTCACCAGTAAATTTTAGTCTCTCCTGCAGTGTTCTTGCTTCACATAGGAGATCCTCAAGGGCCCCATTCTGCCATATTGTCAATCTTCTCTTCATCGCTGCCGCATATTTTTGTGCTTAGTCTTTGTGTGTGTCCTCTGACAGAATAGATGTGGTATTATTGCCAGTACTAATACTAATACTACAAATAATAATAATAGTTTTTGCACCGAGTGCCAGTAAGGTATGCATACCAGAGGCACTATCTGTATCACATTCCTAGATTATCAACTTAGATTATTATAATCAGTATCAACAGTATGACTTCTTTTGTGGGTGTTCAACTACAGTTCTTCTGTCATTCATTATACCATGATCATATTCATACGGTTGCATATGACATTTCCATAGTACAAGACAGATTTTGTCATCGACCTTTATTTGCAAAATTTCTCTCATATAGCCTTTCCATTTCCATCCCCTTAATTTCTTAATTTGTGTCAAGACTAATTTACTGTAGCCCTATGCATTTCATCTATTAGGGAAAATATATTTTACAAAATCCAATTAAGAGGAATGATCGATAGATCCCACAGCTTTTTATACTCACCCATAGTTGATGTTAAATTATTTTATTAGTGGCATTTATGTGAAGTTAACAGTTACAAGAAACTGTGCTGTTTATGAAGTGAAATAATTTGGGAAATTTGTTACCTGAGTGTAGGAGAGGACACGACATCTATCGTAGACTTCCTGGCCGGCAGTGTCCCATAGAGTGTAGTTGAATTCCTTACCATCCACGTTTATTTGTCCAGCGTAATTATCGAACACTGTGGGGACGTACTCTTCATTGAACGAGCCCTGAAAATAAGATACGAATCAATTTTGTGAAATGACGTATATTCTTTCCTTTCATTTCCTTAATGCATGGGTGTGTGTGTGTATGTATGTATCAGGGTGCTTCACCAAACCAAGTTCCAGGTTGCTGATCTGAATTTCTGCCTCATTTACACACAATTGCAGTCTCAATTGTTTCTCTTACTATTGACAACACAACATACATATATTTTTCTCACTTTTGATCTTTTTTATTTGTTTTTATTATTATTATTATTATTATTATTATTATTTTATTTAAAAAAATATATTTTTTGTTATAAATTTTATTTACTATGAATTATTAATATTATTATTATTACTACATTTTCGCCCCCCAGGCCCCGATGTGGGTCAGTGACCTGTGTCCCTGTGTCCGGGTGCTAGGTTTCGAAGTTGGTCCATAATGTAAATTGCCCAGCCAAGAGCTACCGAATTATCCACCATATCGATTAACTCAGGATTATGAAGCACATGTATCTCGCGATATTATATTTATAACTTTTATAAGAACAAGGTCAATGGCAATAATTTTATTTAGCATACAAGAAAATAGAAATTGTCTGAGTTGACAAAATTTAATCTTTCAAGAGCTTGAGGGTAACCAAGGATAAGACACCTCTGGAATCTGTTCAGTTTTGTTGAATGTCGCCGCCATTCAGGCGGTATCCACAATCCAGATAAACGCTATATACTGTAATACAGAAATTGATTTTTTTTAATTATTAGTACGAGTATAATTTTTCTGAAAATTGTCAATTAGTATGAGAGGATTGTGTAAGATGCTTTTTGATGAAGTAATCCAAAATTCCAAAACTTTGTGTTAATATTAAAATATTGTCAATAGCAATATGGCCTCTGCCGGTTTGCGTTAAATATCCTCAACATTTGAACTGTCATTATGACTCTTGTACTAGATTTGCAGTCTGTTTATCGAGGGTTAAGAGTGCCCATTTTGTTGAGATCAAACTTCAGGTAAATCGAAAGAAGTTTTGGTGAAATAAATTCTACCATAGATAGTTGTTACCATGGCAGACTTTTATAGTTTCGTTGGGTTTATTAGAATGCAACGGTGTGTTTTTATGAATTACAGTTGACTGCGGCCTGTACAATCCAGGGACTTGCTTAAGAACTTATCTATATAAAGCAGAATTTACAGGAAAACAATATATCTTTCAGTTCTCATAAAATAATTAAAAGTGAAATAAATCAAATATCAGAACAATGCACAATTAGAAGTTCATGAATATTTAAACATGGTTACTTGAATAATTTCAAGTTGAGGTTACGCCTGTTACTATAAAAGGTACGCTATTATTATTATTATTATTTATTTATACATATATATATTTATATATATATGAATATATATATATATATATATATATATATATATATATATATATATATATATATATATATATATATATATATATATATATATATATATATATATATATATATATATATATATATATATATATATATATACATTACTTTTTTCTATTGTTTTTCTCGTCTTTACATTATTCATCCTAACCAAATTATCTCCATTTCACGACTGTCAGATTTCCTGTCTCACACTTCATCTCGCAGCTGAATCGTTAATCTTGACCCCGTTCGTTACAGCAAGAGCACCTGCTTTACTGTGTATTGGAAGAACAACAATTTCTCCTCCCTTTCCCAATCTTCTTGCTTTAATATACCTGGTTACGATCTCTTTCCTAATCTCTAAAGTGTTGGTGGTCTCCACTGCCATGCTAAGTATGAAATTGCTTTCTAGCCTCTCTCCTCACTTTGATTTGTTTTGCGAACTCTCTTTCCTAATATAGCAAATATTTTCGTGTGTCTATATATTTTCCACCGCTCCTCTCGTAACCAGTCTGTTAGATATTCTCACTCTCCATACCAGATTTCAATATCCACATCACTGAATGGTTGACGAACTTTTTTTGCTCAATTAATAGCAATTCATCATCATTCCCACAGAGATTTCTGATGCGGTGTACACATAACTAACTGCAGAATTCTTCAGTTTAATAATTACTTTACTCTTTTGACTACTGTCTCATCTCTGACTCGGTAGAAGTTCTCATTTGGCAATAAGATTATATACAGTAGACTGAAATATACGTTCATATTTTGTTTTTCTCTTTCCCTTGGTCCTCCTTTTTTATGTTGAACTTTGCTCTACTGCCGAGCACATCACTGATAAAAACAAAGTCGGGGTGTTAGAAATCTTTCTTGATATTGTATTTCCAAAACGTCTCATCTCCTTCAGACATTCGTGTGACTTTGCTGTAGCTGAAAAATGAAACGTTCTGTAAACTTTACTTATCCAATTCATGTTTACAAACAGCCCACTCGTGTGCTGTAGGTCTCAACAGCAATAGCATTACGTTTGTGTGTGTGTAAAAGGTAAATCAAATTATCACTATAGTATGTTGCAGTCATCACCAACCTCTTTGAGGCAATGGCCCACTACAGCTCATCTGGTAAACTCGTGCCTGAACTCTCATTTTATCATGCGTACATGATGGTAAAGATTAATAACACATTATGTTCAATAACATTATATTTAGAAGTTGGTGAAAGAAAAGGAACAAATATTGGAAGTCCAAGAAAAGAACTTGCAATACAAAACATGATAGGCAAATACCACAGGGAAATAAAAACTTTTTTGATGCCAACGGTGCGTTTACTTGCTACTTCTCCAGGAAGTAACCTATGTTAATATAAACGCATCAAAGGATACAATATGATCATGCACTTCCAGTGTGGTGCTTGTATCAGCTACTCACTAAGTCTGCCGGTTCGAGGATGTAAATGGAATGAGAGCGCGGCAGAAATAATGTTCAAATTCCAAATGGTTCCTTGATTTTGTTTTAATTTACAAAATTTTTGAAAATCTAGATACTTAACCTAACCTAACTTAGCCTAACTTTACCTAACCTATCCCATATGTTCTCCCCACTGGCCTTCCTTGGACACTGTAATGGACTGCTGTGACCACACCTTGAATTCGGCAGAGGAACCAAGATACATTACAAAATTTCTCAGAATATTCAGTTAATAGTTAGCTAAATCCTATATTAATATTAACTGATTCGTCCCCCCAAACATTTCAAAACAATCCCATTTTAGTTTTCCAATTTTTCTTGAAAATTTTTGTTCTAAAATTTCAAAATATGACATAAGGCAAATGTTTTAAGTTACTTTACATTAACTTTTACTTATATTTTAATCTCAAAATGTAAATTGTTTCTTTACCTGTGAGTGTCTTGGGACTTTTTGGTTGAAATTATTTATTTATAATACCTTGTAAAACTCATGCCCAATTACGTAAATAATGACAATCTGTTTGTATTGTAAACTTTTCTAGTTAGTTTTTACTGTAGGTTTAGTAATTACAGCATTACTTTGAATATTTGATTCCACACTAATGGTTGACATAACAGTACCCAACATCGTATAAATAGTAGGAAGTGAAAAATAAGCAAATGATTGTTAAATAATATTCTTAAAACAAAATCAACGCAAAACATAAATACAAGGGTGAAAAATAATGCACTCAGCTGTACTAGTACACGTTACATCTAAATGGCCAGTAGATTCCGCGGTGAACAGGCAGTGCAAGTGACAGTGGGTCACACCATGACAGAGCCCACAGGAGGCGATGGAGATCAGAGTAGAACTGCAGGTAACTTCTTGGTTAGAGCAGACATCACCTGTTATAGATGGCGCCCCCAAAAGACGGCAATGGTTTTCCACCAATCAGGAGCCATCTCCTGACTAGTGATCTTACTAGGTGCCTTGGATAACTAGTGGTTTGGTGGTCGTGTGGAGTAAGCCGTGCAGATAAAGGTGAAAATGCATTGTATGTACACTCGGAAACCATAATCTCTAGCCCACCTGGGTCGGTACTGGAGGTTAGAACAGTGTCCTTTCTGGACGGGGGCCCACTCTAACTATCACGAGGCAACACACGCACGAACACACACTGTCATAGTACGGCTGTATAGATGATATTATGTATAAATATTGTATATGGCATTTTATACTCTGCATTATCTCCATTATATATGAACACGAAGAAAAAATACCATAGGTTGTAGTTACGAAAGTATGAATGGAAATAAACACTTCCAAACCACCCAGTGACACCACACAACGTGTGTGTGTGTGCGTGCCAGACCACGATGCTTCCCATCATTAGCATAATTATATGAAAAATCGTGTTTAATTGAACAATATATTTCATAAACCTTAAATTACATGTGGATGAGTAACTCCTCATTTGACAAACTTATATTGTAATACTTTGACCATCCCACCTGGGCACATGGAGGCCCACGGTAACTCTCACGGGGCAACATATGCACGAACACACAAGTTATGATATGAACCCTTCCAGGCCTCACTATCATTATCATGTGTTATTAGTAATATTGTAACTTTTACCCGACAGTTATTGTTGTAAATCATGGACAGGAAGGATACATAAATTGTAATATCAAGTGTATGGTTCGCTCAAAGCCACCCCAAGTCAGACAACGCGTCACTCAATGTTACATTGTGTGTGTGTGTGTGTGTGTTCTGTAACATGAAGCTTCATCCTTAGTAGGTAAGATATTTCATAAAGAGGTTTCTCCCATTCGTCATTGTGAGCATCGTCCCAGAGCACATTGTTTCCATCAAAACCATGGTTCATCCTTATTTCCCTTCTTCCGTGTAACTATATCCATATGGCTAAGTGCTTGCTTTTCATTTCTTTATTTACCAAAATAATGTGGATCAGTTACTCGTTATTTAACACATACATGCAGTTAGAGCATCAAGATTGTTTAGTAGATATGACTATTGGTTAATTGAAACCCCAAAAGTATTTTTCACATTTATTATGCATAAACATTGTAAACATCTATGTGATTATTGTAGTATATAACATATATTTAATGTCTGGACAGATTCCCAAGAGTTATGCA